GTTCCTAACCCACGCACCACGCCCTACAATCCCCGACGCGCCCTTCCTGCCCCGGAAACTGCCGCCAGCCCCCAGCACAACGAACATACCCTCTGCTGGTATCACTGGCGTTTTGGGCCCAATGCTCAACGCTGTGAGCCCCACTGCACCTACTCGGGAAACGGCATTAGCGGAGGTTGGTAGACGCCCCAACCCCGTCCCTTCAGGCGTCTCACTACTACACGTCACCTATCGCACCTCTGGCACGAAATTCCTCATTGACACAGGTTCATCAGTCAGTATCATCCATCCCTCCCTCACGACAAGACACGTCAAGGCAACCCTCTTATGACCTGTTCGCCGCCAACGGTACCCCCATCGCCTCCTACGGCGCACGCACCCTCGCCTTAGACCTCGGTTTCCCCAAGACTCTACGCTGGTCATTCATAGTCGCAGACGTGTCTCAACCAATCCTTGGTTTCGACTTCCTCACCTTTCACAAGCTCGGAGTCGACCCAAGCCACCTTCGCCTCATCCATGAGCCTACAGCACACAATATCCAGGGTTCACATGCCAAAGACACCGACACTATCACCTGTCTCTCACCGTCCAATGAGTTCTCGCCCCTGCTCGAAGAGTTCAAGGAACTTTTCTCACCCTGAATCTCTCCACCCCCACCACCTACTTCGGGAATTTTTCACCACATCGAGACCAAAGGACCTCCAGTCTTCCCACGCCCCCGCCGCCTGCGCCCTGAGCTCCTGAACGCAGCCAAGGCGGAATTCAACAGACTACTGCAAGACGGCATCATTCGTCCTTCAAAGAGTTCCTGGGCATCGCCTCTTCACATGGCCCTTAAGCCATCATCCGGCGACTGGAGGATGTGTGGCGACTACAGAGCCCTGAACCTCGTCACCAAACCCGACAGGTACCCTATTCCGCATGTCCAGGACTTCCACCACAAACTTCATGGCAAGACAATCTTCTCGAAGATCAACTTGGAGCGTGCCTTCCACCAGATCCCTGTAGCACCTGCAGATACCCAGAAGACAGCCATCACCACTCCATTCGGACTCTTCAAGTATACTTTCATGAGTTTTGGCCTACGCAATGCAGCACAGACTTTCCAGAGGTACATGGACCATATATCACCACCTACAACTCCTCCTCCAACGCCTGCAGAACAACAACATGAAAGTTCACCCTGCTAAGTGCGTCTTCAGAGCCCCATCCATTGATTTCCTCGGTCACAGAGTCTCGCCTAGTGGCATCCAACCCCTACCACAGAAGATAACCGCCATCAGGGAGTTCCTCAAACTTGAAACAGCGAAGAAACTCCGAGAATTCCTGGGTTTAGTTAACTACTACCACCGCTTCATTGCCAACGCTGCCACCATCCTAGTTTCCCCTCTACCACCTTCTCAAAGGACTCCCAAAGAAGTCTCACAAGCCTCTCGTGTGGACTCAAGAGGCTGTTACGGCATTCACTGCTATCAGACAGCACATCACACGCCTTACCCTCCTAGCCCACCCTGCACCTAACGCCCGGACCACTCTCACAACAGACGCTTCTTCTACTGCAGTGGGCGCCGTCTTACAGCAGGAGATCAACGGAGTCCTCATGCCCGTTGCATTCTTCTCACAACAACTTCAACCACCTCACCTCAAATACAGCGCCTTCGATCGAGAACTCCTGGCCGTATACCTGGCTGTCAAGCATTTCCAGCACTTCCTCGAGGCCCGTCAGTTCACCATCTTCACTGATCACAAGCCCCTCGTCCACGCCTTTACTTCAACCTCCCAGTCACATACAACTCGCGTTCTGCGCCACTTGGCGTATATCTCGGAGTTCTCCAGCGACGTCCAACACATTAAAGGCAGCCACAACGAGATCGCCGACTCCCTCTCTCGTTGTATATCCAACATTCTTCCCTCATCTCCACCCATTGATTATGGGCAACTTGCCGCGGCTCAGGAGAATGACGAAGACCTGGCAGCATACAAGACATCTCCGTCAGGCCTCACACTCCAAGAACTCCCAATCCCCAGCACGAATATCAAATTGTGGTGCGACGTATCCTGTGGGCAGCCTAGACCGTTCGTGCCTCACGTCCACCGCCGCTCTGTTTTCGACCTCATCCATGGTCTCAGCCACCCGGGTGTGCGGGCCTCCCAGCGCCTCCTCACGCAACGTGTCGTCTGGCCCGGCATCAAGACCGATACTAAGAAATGGGCTGCCCAGTGCCTGGCCTGCCAGTCCTCCAAATAAATCGTCACACACGGGCCCCCTTACAAACCTTCCCTATACCCAAAGGACGTTTCCAAGTAGTACACCTCGACATCGTGGGACCTCTTCCATCATCCTGTGGTAGCACCTACATCTTCACCTGCATCGACCGTTTCACCAGGTGGACAGAAGCCATCCCCATGCCCAATGCTACAGCAGAGTCTACCATCCGCGCCTTCATGTCCAGCTGGGTTTCCCGCTTCGGCCCCCCCGCTACCGTCATCACTGACCGAGGAGCCCAGTTTGAGTCACAACTCTGGCACAGCCTCCTACAGTTCCTCAGCACAACTAGGCATCGCACCACCACATACCACCCTCAATCCAACGGCATGGTAGAGCGGTTTCACCGGCAGCTGAAGGACGCACTCAAACCACAGCACGACCCTTACAGCTGGACTGATAAGCTACCCTTAGTGCTCCTCGGCATCCGTGCTTCACACAAAGAGGATATGGACTATAGCCCAGCAGATCTCACCCTAGGCGAGCCACTTCGCCTACCCGGGGATTTCTCACTCCCTCCTGACCTGCACCAAACCACTCCTGCCGTCCATCACGACTTACTCCAGAAGCTACGACAAGCAGTTTCTGCATTCAGAGCTACTGCTCCACGCCAGCCTCCTCGTCGCCCCGAACACATCCCTCCTGCACTACTAACAGCCGAATATGTTTTCGTCAGGCATGATGCTCACCGCAACCCACTACAACGCCCCTACGATGGACCCTTCCAGGTTGTGACCCGTTCAGCGAAGTTCCTGACAATTTTCCGGAATGGCAGACACGAGACCGTCAACATACACAGAGTCAAGCCGGCCACCTTACCCGTTGAGCCCCCAACCCAGCAGCACCACTAACAAACGACGCCTGCACCAGTCTACCCACAGTTGCCACCGGCAGCAACACCCCCGCCCACAACATTTTTGGGCACACTCTTTTCACCCTCAGGTGCCCCCTGCTCCTGTCCTGGACCCTGCTGCCGTGGTAGAACCTGCTCCTATCATAGACCCTCCTCCTGTCGTGAACCCTGCTGCCGTAATAGAACCTCCTCCTGTCATGAACCCTGCTGCCGTCATAGAACCTGCTCCTATCATAGACCCTCCTCCTGTTGTGAACCCTGCTGCCGTAATGGAACCTGCTCCTGTTATAGAACCTGCTCTGGTCATGGACCCTCCTCCTGACGTCGCCCCTGACCCAGTCAACCCAGCCAGTGGCCCTGAGGAAGCTGCCCCAGCCGCTATAGAAGCACAACAACAATTGCCTGTACAACCTCCTCTAATCCAAAACCCTCTTTCCCCCCCTAATTCCCCCACAGGGGCTGTGTCATTAGATGGAGTTGTAACCCGCAGCGGCCGAGTGGTACGTACACCTGTCCGTTATGTATCACGTGTGGGACGTAACCCGGCTAACATCCCCGTCGCGCCCGGAGGGGAGGGGAGTATTGTAGTGGAGGCCTCCCCTACAAACGCCGTGTCGCTGACTGCCCGACCTCCTGTGAATCTGCTGGCGTATCCCTCGTGGTCAAGGTCAGGTAACCAGCGACGCCGAACAAAGCGGGGGCCTTCCATCAAGCCACGCCTACCGCGGTCATATAAGACCTCACCTGGCCTTCATCGCTCTCTTTCTACTTACCGCCGCCAACAAGCAACATCCCTCAACAGCTCCATACACACGCTCCCTCAGAAAGCTTCTCGCCCTACAGGAACACTGAGCAAGCTTCGCCCGACTTAGTATCTCTTTAACACTGTGCTGTGCAACAACATATATATATATACGAGAAACATTGTGATTTTCTATTTCTACCCCAATCCTGAGTGTTGGATATATTTCATGTATGTACGTTGAGGCCAAATAAGAGACCCTGACAACCTGCCACGACAGTACACTACAAGCCTAACCCCTGCGAATTTTAAGGGCATGCTGTACAGCAGCGGTTCCCAACCTCAGGTCGTGACCCAAATCAGGGTCGCGGGGTGTACTCGGTAGGGTTGCGAGGGCCCTCAGACAATTGAAAAATGATAGTTCTTATCATAACGTCATAAAAAAAATTTTGCTTAACATTCAAGCTGTATAATATATTATATACCTGAGGGTCATGACACCGTATTGTTGGGAAATTTAGGGTCGCAGCCAAAAAAAGTTGGGAACCACTGCTGTACAGTATAACATGTTAAGAGGGAAATGCATTTATACTGTACCAATGTTGTATTTTGTACCTATGAATGATAAATGACGGGTTTCGTTGCGTACAGTTATATTGAAAGCACTAATAATGGTACCATGGCGATGAGAAGTATATTAAAACATTTTTTTAAGAAATTTTTAATTTTATATTGGACATGAAAAGGTACATTATTGATCCAGAGGTGTTAGTGACTCTGGGGTGGTAGGCTTATCACACAGTTTTGAGAAAAACTGGTCTGAATAAATTTTTTGTGCAGTCACACTGGTATCAGCTTAGACATTGTATTTTGTGTACTGGCCACCATATCACATTTTGTCATATGGATATACAGTATATACACTACAAAAAAAAGTGTCCAGTCCCTGGTGTTTAGTAAGGTAAGGGAAAACTAATTTGCCTTAAAATATGAAACATTTGGTAAATTATCCTAATCTTGGAAGAGGTTTGTCTCCAATGTCATATTACAAAGAAAGGGCATATGAAAAATTAAATTTTTATAAACAAAAAAGTTTCCTTGTGCATTTTGTTAATAGGTTTTGACTTTCTTATTTGCAGAATTTGAGCATTGTGGTGAAAGGGAAAGTGCAGGCACGATGCTTTCATTTATCCCCTCTGGTCACTGCTGCCCAGAAGGTGGCCATGTCACACCTGGACCCTGGCTCAGAAATGCCATATGATAAACTACAAGCAACTCTTGATGTCGTCAAGCAAAGGTTAGATGTTTGATTTTAGAGACTGTACTGAAGCAGGAATTAGAGACTGTACTGAAGCAGGAAAGCCAATTTGTTCCATGTAGTATATAATTTGTGATTAATACTCATGAAGTGTTTGGTGTTGACATATAACACACACAACCATGGAATACATCATGGACTGGGTGGCGTGCAAATTTTAACTCTGTATTTTGATGTATCATAACCTTTTCTCAGTGACATTCTTTTAATGGATCATGCTATTTATTGTCAGTTATGAGACAATCTGATCAGAACCATTGATAAAATTCTGGTAAATGATTTAACCCAATCGAAATATCTTTGACCTGAAGAAAATATCCAGATTCACAAAAAGCAGAGATAATCTAAATACTGATGCAATGAACCATCGGTCAGATCCACAAAGTATCTTAAGATGAATCTTCCTCCCGAGTAAAGATATACACCAAGAATTAGCCGAACTGTTTGACTTATATTAAACCATAAAAATAATGTCTCGATAACATCAAAATTACTCTGAGACTGTACGTTACATTCATTTAACAATTGTTACAGTAAATCTTTGCTATTATGGTATCACTAAAGATGTTGTTTGCTGCCAAGTTTAGTGTACAGTCCCTCGGTTAACGAATGGTACCGTTAACGAATTACCTTCCATAAGAATCTTCAATTCGGTTAACGAACAAAAATTTGATTAACGAAATCCTTACAAAAATTCCGTTTTGTTGTGAGCATCAGCTGATGGGCTAGTCTGCCAATTCAGTAATCTGTTCTCTGTTTACATTCGTTTCCAATGGAGTAAATATTAATAAGTTGTGCTCTTTAATATTTTTGCATGTTTTATATTAAGATTATTAGTCATTTTAACGTTTAACACATTGATAATACAGTACTGTATATGCAGTACAGGGAACTAGTTAGTTTTGCGCCCATCAGATGCGTGGGTCGGTCACCAGGCGTCAGTCTGGCATTGTTTTCTGTGGAGAGAGCATCCCTTTTGTTGGTTTCTTGAATATTTTTGCGTTTTTCATTGAAATTATTGGTTATTCTGAACTTTAGTTAACATATTGATAATATATAGCTCAGTGCAGTGTTGATTTAAAGAAAATAATCTTGAATTACACCTAGTGTAATTGACTGCATCAAGCATGTCTCCCTGAAAGGTGATTTCTCCTCTATTCCCACTTCCTTCTCTTCTCCCTTCTCCTCCACCCCTACTTCTAATTCCCATCATCATCAACAACCAGGAACCTTCTACATACACACCTCAAAGTAAGTGTACTTTACTGCATTATTTTTTTTTTTTTACATTGTGTGTACTTTTCGGTGAGCTGGAACCAATTACCCAATATCCCATTGAAACAATGGATTTGGTTAACGAAAATTTCGGTTAACGAACGACCTTCTGGAACAAATTGTGTTCGTTAACCGAGGGACCACTGTATAGTGGTGAGTAATATACTGGAAAAAGTTAGTCAAAGTACTGCTGCCTAAGAAAATAATTATTGAGTGGTCATAAAAGTACAGTATACTGGGTTTTATGACTTTAGTTGTAATTAAGTATTGTAAAGGTACAAAGTACCTTAATTTCCAATGCACTTAAGTAAAAACGTAAAAAAAAATCTAGAAATATTTATTTATTTATGAAATGTGATTCAGACCCTGAACTGTTGTGTGTATTTTCAAGGCTGTGTGTATTTTCAAGGTTATAATAAAAAGACAAGGGTAACTCTTCACACACATTTATTTCATTATACTGTATAAATAATGACAAATGTACAGTGAACACTCAGAATTATGTTTCAGTAACAGCAAATTTTCAAAACATTTACTACTTACAATAGCACACTATTGGCTAAAGATTAGCCCAGCACAGCTGAGCAAGTATTCATAAGCTGCAGATATACTTATAATCTCTTAATAAAGGGAAAGAAATCATTGCATGCATTGTTCTTGAGGTCCCAGCTCCCCACTCCCAGGGGTCCTACAGATTTTCACTGCACAATAGTGTGATAGTTTTCCAACTATGGAAGTCACTGCTTCCATCAAGTTGTATATTAGAAATCCACTTTTCTTGTCACACACACCATCTATCGATCATTAATGTACTTTTCAGACTTCTGCAAATTTACTCGCCAACATCATGCTTGTCCAGCCTACAGTACTTCCATTCATCCCAAAAACTTGTACGTATTACCTCTTTCCTCAATGACTTCTTTCTTTCAGATTGAATCGTCCTCTAACCCTCTCAGAAAAGGTGTTGTATTCTCACTTGGATGATCCTGCCAGTCAAGATATTGTACGTGGGGAGTCCTACCTAAAGTTGCGGCCAGATAGAGTAGCCATGCAAGATGCCACTGCACAGATGGCCATGTTGCAGTTTATTAGTTCTGGGCTGCCCCGAGTGGCTGTACCTTCAACAATTCACTGTGACCATCTTATTCAAGCCCAGGTTTGTTATACCTTGAGTTTGATCAGTGTATAGCACTGTCCTGTAAAATGGTACTGTACTGTATATTGTTCTTTCGATACACCTATAGTTTCAATTATTTGCCTGTCTGTGGGACTTAGAATATCAGTATTTCTGTATCTTACTCGCTTTTTAGATTGATGGACCCAAGGACCTTCAGCGTGCCATTGAACAGAACAAGGAAGTGTACAACTTCCTAGCGACTGCAGGTTCAAAATATGGAGTTGGCTTCTGGAAACCTGGTTCAGGCATCATCCATCAAGTATGATAATAGAAGCTTTGTAGATATATTTTTTAAGGGATTTTGAAGGCTTTAGTATTGTTTAAATATATACCCAGGGGTCACTGTAGAACAGGGGTGAGCAATTATTTTGACTAAAATACCCCCGCCCCCCACAAAAAAAAATTATAATAATTAATTCACTTTAAAATGGTTGGCAAGCTTAAAAGTGAGAGTTTTGTGGTGCTGAGACGAAAAAGACACCCATTTTAGATTTTCTATGTATTATTTAAGCATTTTCAACATACGGCCATTTCGACTTACGACCTGGATTTGGGTCTCTAACCCCATCGTAAGTCGGGGAGGAGCTGTGTGTGTGTGTGTGTGTATATATATATATATATATATATATATATATATATATATATATATATATATATATATATATATATATATATATATATATATATACACCTAGACCCCGACTTACGACTACGTGATTCTACGACTGCCGACTTTATGAACACCTCAGATATAGATAAAAAAAAAAAAAATTTAATGACACGATTTTCTATACCGAAACGTTTCCACTTAATGTAGTCTCCATGTATAATTAGAAATTATGGGGGCCCCATGTGCATTCAGCTGACTACATTAAAGGTTAAGTGCTCAGTCACACTGTATCCATTCTTATTATTTATTACTTTCACTGTACTGTATCAATTCATCATTATTCATTACTTACTGTACTGTATTTCATTGTAGATTTTTATTAAAAAAAAAAATTATCTATGTCGACTTACGACCATGTCGACTCATGACCTGGATTTGGGTCCCCAACCGTCAGAAGTCGGGGTATATATATATATATATATATATATATATATATATATATATATATATAATATATCATAGTCTGAGTAGGTCAGAGGGTAAGAGACCAACCTTCTACCTGGTTACAAATCTTCTTAATTACAAAATTATCAAGTTTGTACATACCATTACTCAAATTCATGTTGATGGATTCGGTATGTTTAATGAGACTGGATTCTATAATGTTCCCACTGTCAATTGAATTACAAGGTAATATTGAGGAGGCATTATCCCAGTCAATGCAATGCTTATTATCCCTCAAATGAACAAACAGAGCATTGGATTCCTGGCCTGTCCTAACACTATATTTATGTTGTTTAAGTCTAGTTACCGAATCTGGTCAACATGAATTTGAGTAATGGTATGTACAAACTGGATACTTTCGTAATTAAGAAGATTTGTAACCAGGTGAGAAGGTTGGGTCATTCCACCTCTGACCTGACTACAGACTACTGTTGTGCTTATGAAGATTAGTAGGGTCACCGCCTAGTGACCGGACCATTGTGGACACTAACTGTCTCCTAGGGACTTGATCTCACTCTCCTCTACTGTGTATATTTGCCTTTGTTATGTATTACTCCTTAGTTTGTACTCACCCCTGAAGATGTGAATTACATGAAAGCGCTTCGGAACTTCGTGTTTTCTTTTTCTTGTGGTTATCAGCGTATACCTGGATCACGCGCACCCACAGTGATTTACTTGTGTGTGTGTGTGTGTTGCTACATAGAGGAGCACAAGATAAAAGGTGGGATTTTAATTTACAGTAAAAAATTTTTTAGATCATCTTGGAGAATTATGGCTCGGTCTACTGATGATTGGAACAGACTCTCACACTCCAAATGGTGGTGGTCTGGGAGGATGTGTATAGGTGTTGGTGGAGCTGATGCTGTTGATGTTATGGCCGATATTCCTTGGGAACTGAAGTGTCCACAGGTATGTGTTTGTAGTTTGTATCGTACCTTTACAGTCTTATCATAACATTAGTGACTAATCTTCAATTAGCCTAGTTAATTTTCCTGTATTAGGTAAAGAAAGCTACTATACTCTGTTTACTGAGCTATCCATATCCACACAAAGGTTTAAGGCAGGGGTGGCCAATTTTCACATACCACGCGTCAATTTGTTCACACACGAGTTCAGATTCGCATTAAGGCAATCCCTTGCAAATTCTCGCTTCACTTTCTCGTAAAAATGTTTATAGGCTAAATTTAGACACGACAAAATATAATATATAAACACATTCCATAAAGCAGATAAACATTACTTACCTTAATGAGACTTTGAGTCTGTTTTGATTTGTCAGTTCAATGTTTGGAGCAATTTGTTTTTACTGAGAGCAAAGTGAAATTCTTCAAATTTGATTCAGTCAGTCATAATTCCTAAGCATTTTTAATCAAATTTCATGGATGAAATGAAATTATTATCTGCATGTCGTCTAAACCACATATATAATCAGCAAATTTTCTTAGTTCTGTAAAATTTTCACGGGTAGCATTCAAACGAATCATGTCAGAAGCATTTGGGACTGAGGAGCTCTGATTAAATTTCTGTATCAATGAATTTGTTTTAAGTCAATCAGTTCAACTGTATGTCAATAGTTATCTTTTCATTATTTTTTTTTCACTATGAAAAATGGGTTTATAAATGCCAGTATGCAGTCTTCTTTCAGCAAAAATCAATTTAAAACTGACCTTTCAAAACAAATGTAATAACTTGATTTTTCATATATTTTGGTCATTTAATTACATTCAATTTCATTTTTAAGTGCGAAACTGGCTCAAATCCTCATTTTCTAACTGAGATAATTGTTTTAACTTCATCTTGAATGCATTGATGTCAATTACTGCTTAGAAACAATTTGTTCTTGCCTGCAGTTTCAAATTTAGGATCATTGAGATGTCTGGTAACATCAACTAAGAATGCCAAATTAAATAGCCAGTTTTATCACATGTGCTGGCTCTTTTCCTCAGGTAGCCTATTTTTCTTCTAGAAAAATTATGAGCAGTGATTTTTCAGTTTCCAGCAAACCTACTCAGAACCTGTCCTCTAGAAAGCCAAAGCATCAATGAAGGTAGACAAGGTCGCTATATCCCAAATCTAACATTTCACAATATTTCGAATTTCACTGTTTAATGTTTGTTTCAATTTTATTCACACATTTCACAATCCAAAATATAACATGCTGCAAATTTAAAAGTTTTTTCCAATAATAGTGATTCCTGGTGTATAATGAAAGGATATTTTTAGTAGAGATTCATTTAAAAAGTTTTAAAGTAAAAGTTGTATTCCGCTTAATTTTACCTATCATTGGATACAAAGGCCTCCGTTAGTGTCATCATTGAAAGATGAGTTGCTATTGGAATTTAATTGTAGGATTGTATAGATTTTACTTTGTCAAATATATCTGATCCTCTTGTTTTTCCATGAAGCGACTCAAGACTGACAAGTTCTTCAAAGACACTAAAATGATCATCAATTCCTCTTATAAAAATGCTTAACTGGGCTACATCACATATGTCAGTTGATTCGTCCAAAGCTAAAGAAAAGAAAGTACAAGAATGGACAAGGTCTTTCAGTTCCTGAGATACATCATGAGAGAGTTCCTCGGTACGTCTCGTAACTGTCTGCTTTGATAGAGCAATTTCGTCTGCTTTCCTTTCAATACTTTTATCGCCAAGACGTCTTGCAAATATTTGGAGACAAGGCTTAACAATTTCTTCTCCATCAGAGAAAGACTTCCTTTTTTTCGCCAACGCTAAAGCAATTTCATAGGACGCTTCTGTCATTGACAAACTTTCACAACTTTTTTTAACAAATACATTTTGTCTTCTTCTGAATTCTTCCTTTTTTTTAGTCACATATTCTTTCCGTAACTCAGACCCAAGCTCGAGCTTCAGTTTTCCTTCTATTTCAGTCTGATGCTGGGTTTTATAGTGTCTATTAAGATCATGTCTTCTACTCTGTGAAAGAGTGATTTCACAAACAATGCACAATGGTTTTCCTGACGGACCCGCTATAAATAACAACTCATTTTCCCACTGTTCATTGAATTCACGCTTATCATTTTCTGCTTTTCTTTTGCTCATTTTCTTTTGCACTGTGATGGGTAACTGGAATGTAAAAACAAGGCTTAATTTTCGAAAAGTACAAAACTGCATATGTTCACAAAGGACAAACAAAGCACAACGTCGTACCGCACCGAGCGTCAGTTGTAAACTGGCAAGAACCTGTGATGCACTGCTGGGGCAGACGCCTGGCACCTCACGGTCACACAAGTATTAAACGCGTATTGAACAGTTACGGGACGATTGCAGAACAAAAGTCCATCTTTCCTAGTTTGATTCATTAAGCATATTTTTAACTGAAAACAGATTAATGTGAAAGAAGATAACATTCGCTAAAAAGGATGTGCACGAAATAATAAAATCGCTAAAAATAATGAGTAGGCATACTGCCTTACTTTATTATTATAACAGGGATGCAATGTGCCACTTCTAATCATCCAATGCGCCACGTTTGGCGCATGCGCCGGAGGTTGGCCATCCCTGGTTTAAGGTTTATGTCTGTTCCAGTGGTAGAGGAATGCTTTATATTAAGTTTATATAAATTTTTAGCATAACTATATTGTGGTATATATAGTAAGCATTCTTTATAATGTACTAAAGCATGCAGACTGATTCTATTGTACCAGTATGCGCAACTACTACTTTGCTGTCACTCGGAATCGAGTATGACGATCAACCAGCTATGATTCAATGATACGAGTCGTTAAGGATGGTGAATTTTAAAGTGACGATAAGGGACCGGCAGAGTCGTTCACAGATGTTGCACATGTGGATGGCTCCATCTAGTGTAGGAGGGGCGGCAGCAGCGTCTTGCTGGCACTTGTCTGCCTTGGTTTGCAGTCGGGCTAATTCGAAAGTATTGACACCTCCAGGCGTTACTGTGTGGAGTGATCGTCTCCCAGGTGAGGGGGTCGATTTGGCACTTTTTCAGGTTTGTCTCGAGACTATCCTTGTACCTTTTCAGTTGCCCTCCAACGTTATGTTTACTATTTGTTAGGTGACTGTAAAGTAGCTGCTTTGGCAGCCTACTGTCGTCCATGCGGGTAACATTGCCAGTCCAACGTAGTTGTTCATGGATAATGGTAGCCTCGATGCTCCTACAGTTGGTTTCAGTGAGAATACTGGCATTTGTTCTCTTGTCTTCCCAGCAAACTCGGAGGATGGAGCATAGATTATGTTGGTGAAAGTTTTCAAGTGCCTTGAGGTGCCTCCTGTATGTAACCCATGTCTCACATATAGTAGGGTAGGGAGGACCACTGCTCGATATACATGCAACTTTGTAGATAATTTCAGCTCCCTGCAGCTGAAGACATGGTTTCGGAGTCTGCCAAGGGCTTGAGATGCACATCTGATCTGATGTCGAATCTCTTCATCTATGTCCGTGGTGGTGGACAGGTTGGAGCCAAGATACAAGTGGGTAACAATAGAGAGGGTAGTACCATTAAGCTGGATGGATGGTGGAGGTGTGGCTGAACCAGAGGCAGGTTGAAAGAGAATCTGAGTCTTCTGCACATTCACCTCAAGGCTGAAGTGTGCATATACATCTGCATAGGTGTTCAGGATCTCCTGTAGGTCGCATTCAATGTGAACAAGGTTGTGGTCGTCTGCAAACTGAAGTTCAGTAATGAAAGCTGCCGACACCTTTATACATCATTTCACATACAGATGCTCCTCTACTTATGAACGAGTTGCATTCCTGAGGCGTGTTTGTAAGGCCAACATTACTCTTGTAGATATCAAACATATTGTAAAAAATGAAAAGATTATGGATATTTAATACAGCTATACCCTTTAATACAGCCTTAAAACCTGGCTCATTCTTCTCCTCTTATGTAATGTTTGTTCTTTTTGGAATTTTCTTAAAAATAATCCAGTCTCATCCACATTAAACACCTGTTCTGGCAGGTAACCCCCCTCAGTGATGATGTTTGTATATCTGAAAGTTTGTAAGTTGAACGTTCTCAAGTAGAGGAGCACTTGTACAATAAACTGTACAGTGCTAACAAATATAGGAAAGAATTTTTATTGTCTATTGTTTCACATGCAAACAATTTTAGATTATTTTATCAATATGGTTAGCACCTGAAAATGGAAGTAAGAATGCACAGAACCTGACCTGGCCTACCTAACCTCACTTAACTTCCATTTTTGTGTTCAGGATCATGAATGTCTCAAATTTGTCTTCAATTTTTTTTTCTTTTCTTTTTTCGGGTGCTAACCATGTTGACAAAACAATCTCGACTTTTGTACCTGCGCATTATATACTGTACATTGGGCCTTCTGAGTATGGGGTACCTCTGAAAATGCTACACGGGAACACCCCTGCTTAGTGGAAGGCTCCGCAATGGGGCAACAAAAACTGGAACAAATTCGTTCCAGTAAATTGAACTCTAGAAGGAATGATTACTGTACAGTATATGTACTTTTATTTTTGTGTGATTAGCACACCATGAATTCAAAACCTCTTATAAATTAAAAGGATTTTGAAAGCAATTCTCTTCAGCTTTGTTATGTTGATCTGAATCATTTAAGTTGCAATATAAAAAAAAATCTTTATTGACAGGTGATTGGTGTGAAGCTGACAGGTAAACTGAGTGGCTGGACATCACCGAAAGATGTCATCCTTAAAGTTGCTGGTATTCTGACAGTTAAAGGTGGCACTGGAGCAATTGTTGAGTACTTTGGCCCTGGTGTTGATTCTATTTCTTGCACTGGCATGGCAACAATTTGCAACATGGGTGCTGAAATTGGTAAGTTGACTGGGGTTGTTTTGCTGAAATATTCACACGTTTTCCTTTTTTTTTCACCTCAGGATGTGGATTCTTTTACATTTATCTAAGTTTTGTGTCATGCTGTTTACATATTAAATTTCAGTGGTAAAATAGCAAAATAGCACACTTTAGAAAATCTACCTTTAACACAATCAAATTTTCATTCATATACTATGAAGACTTGTATGTACCACACTCGGTGATCTCTCTCGTTTTTGTCGGTTTGAAAATTTAAATACAGTACATACATATTTGAAGTTTCATTGTTTTCCCATATGGTTTTAACTCATTCTTTCAAGTTTCTTTATCAAGAATCTGATTTAAATACTTCAAGAACTGTATTGAGGTGGATTAGAGTATGAAATACACATATGGTACATAATATAATTGTTTCTCAATACCAGTCAATACAGTGGAGACTATCTGGTAGCTACCAATGATCTTGTGGATTTGAAATTGGAACCTCATATCAGTAAAAAATTAATTGTTGACAGGTGTGTTCCTGAAGAGTCATGGTATTAGCAAAATCAGCATTTACAAATTATTGTTTCATTGTAAAATAGGGGACGTATTTCACTTGCTCCATCAGAACCTCTATTTATTGTACTTAAAAAAAGTAAAGGACGTTGCACGTTTATGTTGGGTATAGTAGTCTTCCAGTGCAAGCTTGTGTGAATATGCATATATGTGCAATAATATTTGCAATATTAAGTCTACCTAACATAAAGGCAAGCCTGCCTACACTAGTTGCTACATTTGTACTGTTATAATTTTAGCATGGCCCATGTGGCCCTCTCATGGACTATTAACCTGACAAAGGCACAAACTCTGGCTTAATAAGGCTAAATTAAGTGGTGTTTATATTAAGTTCACATATCGATCCCTTGGTCAAGGAGTTTAAGGTAATGAGCCAGCCTTGACATCTAAGGAGTGCAGTCATTCACATTTGTCCAATTGGACATATTACTGATATGTTTCATTACTGTTAATCTTCCTGAAACACTTGATGGTACAGTACATTATTAAAGGGTAGGGGCGAGAGTTGTCTGATTACATGTTTAATAGAATTGTACTAACTTGACCATTTCATATAAATATTCAAATATACCAAAATTTATCAAGTATAGTAGGTAAAAATAACAACATTACATAATATTATATCCCCTTTAGATTGGTGACACTGCAAAGGAGAAGGGTTGGCCTATTGAAGTCAAGGCTGGTCTTATTGGATCATGTACTAACTCATCCTATGAAGATATGGGTCGCTGTGCATCAATCGTCAAGCAAGCCATGAGCCATGGACTGAAAGCAAAGTCCATCTTCCACATCACACCAGGATCAGAACAAATTGTACCATTGAACGAGAATGAATTGTGAGTTTTATACAGATAATTTTTTGTTACTCCAGTCCAGGTACAAGTTAGGCAAAATAATAAATATGAAGATGCAGGATATCTATGGAAGTACTGTAATAAGATTTTTATTTTATTTATTTGAAAAGTAACAATATCATTGATGTTACTTAATGCTAAAGAACTATTAGTGATGATTTTTGCCAATTTGACAACATTAGAGGTGGAGTGTTTGTGTTAAGGGGGGTGCAGGTGTGTGTTTGTATTGGGTGGAGGTGAAGAGTATGTGTTTGTATTGGGTGGAGGTGAAGAGTATGTGTTTGTATTGGGTGGAGGTGAAGAGGTGTGTTTGTATTGGGTGAGAGTGAAGAGTATGTGTTTGTATTGGGTGGAGGTGAAGAGTATGTGTTTGTATTGGGTGGGAGGTGAAGAGTGTGTTTGTATTGGGTGGAGGTGAAGAGTGTGTGTGTTTATTGGGTGAGGGTGAAGAGTGTGTGTTTGTATTGGGTGAGGTGAAGAGTATGTGTTTGTATTGGGTGGAGGTGAAGAGTATGTGTTTGTATTGGGAGGTGAAGAGTATGTTTGTATTGGGTGGAGGTGAAGAGTATGTGGTTTAGGAGGAGTGCAGAAGTGTATGTTTGTATGGGTGGAGGTGAAGAGTGTGTTTGTATTGAGGTGCAAGTGTGTGGTTTGAGTATTGGGTGAGGTGAAGAGTATGTGTTTGTATTGTGGATGTGAAGAGTATGTGTTTGTATAGAGTGGAAGACGGTGTTTGTATTGGGTGAGGTGAAGAGTATGTGTTTGTATTGGGTGAGGTGAAGAGGTGTGTTTATTGGGTGATGAGGAGTATGTATGTAGGTTGGGTGAAAGAGTGTGTGTTTGCAGGTGAGAAGAGTGTGTGTTTGTATTGGGTGAGTGTGAATGTGTTTGTATTAGATGCAGAGGCAGGTTTGTATTGGGTGGAGTGGAAGATATGTGTTTGTATTGGGTGGATGCAGAGTGTGTGTTTGTATTGGGTGAGGTGAAGAGTATGTGTTTGTATTGGGTGGAGGTGAAGAGTGTGTGTTTTATTGGGTGGAGGTGAAGAGTATGTGTTTGTATTGGGTGATGCGAAGGTATGTGTTGTATTTAGAGTGAAGAGTGTGTTTGTATTTGGGTGAGGGAAGAGTATGGTTTGTATTGGGTGGAGGTGAAGATATGTGTTTGTATTAGGGAGGTGAAGAGTGTGTTTGTATTGGGTGATGTGAAGAGTGTGTGTTTGGTATTGGTGATGTGAAATATATGTGTTTGTATTGGGGGTGAAGATATGTGTTTGTATTGTGGAGTAAATATGTGTTTGTATTGGGTGAGGTGAAGAGTATGTGTTTGGTGGTGGGGATGTGAAGAGTATGTGTTTGTATTGTGGAGTGTGAAGAGTATGTGTTTGTATTGGGTGAGGTGAAGAGTATGTGTTTGTATTGGGTGGAGGTGAAGAGTGGTGTTTGTATTGGTGGAGGTGAAGAGTATGTGTTTGTATTAGGGAGAGAGTGTGAGTTTGTATTGGGTGAAGAGAATGTGTTTGTATGGGTGGAGGTGAAGAGTGTGTTTGTATGGGTGGAGGTGAAGAGTATGTGTTTGTATTAGAGTGCAGAGTGTGTTTGTATTGGGTGGAGGTGAAGAGTATGGGTTTGTATTGGGTGGAGGTGAAGAATGTGTTTTGTATTAGGAGTGCAGATGTGTGTTAGGAGGTGGATGTGAAGAGTATGTGTTTGTATTGGGTGAGTGCGAAGAGTATGTGTTTGTATTGTGGATGTGAAGAGATGTGTTTGTATTGGGTGAGGTGAAGAGAGTATGTGTTTATTGGGTGAGTGAAGAGTATGTGTTTGTATTGGTGGAGGTGAAGAGTGTGTGTTTGTATTGGGGGAGGTGAAGGTGTGTTTGTATTGAGTGGAGGTGGTGTGTGTTTGTGGGAGGTGCAGAGTGTGTGTTTGTTTGGGTGGAGTGAAGAGTGTGTGTTGAGTATTGGGTGGAGGTGGAAGAGTATGTGTTTGTGTGGGGGAGTGCAGAGTGTGTGTGTTTGTGTGGGGAGGTGAAGAGTGTGTGTTTGTATTGGGTGGAGGTGGAAGAGTATGTGTTTTTGTATTGTGGAGTGGAAGTGAAGAGTATGTGTTTGTATTAGGTGGAGGTGAAAGAGTATGTGTTTGTATTGGGTGGAGGTGAAGAGTGTGTTTTGTATTGGGTGGAGGTGAAGAGTATGTGTTTGTATTGGGTGGAGGTGGAAGGTATGTGTTTGTGTTGGGTGGAGGTGGAAAGAGTGTGTGTTTGTGATGGGGGAGGTGAAGAGGTGTGTGTTTGTGTGGGTGGAGGTGAAAGTATGTGTTTGGATGTGGTGGAGTGGAAGAGTATGTGTTTGTATTGGGTGGAGGTGAAGAGTATGTGTTGTATTGGGTGGAGAGAGAAAGTATGTGTGTTTTATGTGGGTGGAGAGTGAAAGTATGTTGTTTGTATTAGAGAAGTTAAAGTGTGTGTTTGTGTGTGAAGTAAAGTATGTGTTTATGTAAAGAAGGTGCAAGTGTGTGTTTGTATTGGGTGGAGTGTGAAAGAGTATGTGTTTGTATTGGTGGAGGTGAAGAGTGTGTGTTTTGTGTTAGATTGGAGGTGAAAGAGTGTGTTTTGTGTGGGTGGAGTGAAGAGTGTGTGTTTGTATTAGGGTGGAGGTGGAAGAGTGTGTGTTTGTGATGGGGAGGTGCAGAGTGTGTGTTTGTATTGGGTGGAGGTGAAGAGTATGTGTTTGTATTGGGTGGTGAAAGAGTGTGTGTTTGTATTGGGTGGAGAGTGAAGAGTGTGTGTTTGTATTGGGTGGAGGTGAAAGAGTATGTGTTTGTATTGGGTAGAGAAGTGCAAGTGTGTATTTATGTGTGGAAGTGAAAAATGTGTTTGTATTAGGGGAGGTGAAGAGTGTGTGTTTGTATTGGGTGGAGGTGAGAGTGTGTGTGTTTGTGTTGGGGGAGGTGAAGAGTGTGTGTTTGTATTGGGTGGAGGTGAAGAGTGTGTGTTTGTATTGGGTGGAGTGAAAGGTGTGTGTTTGTGTGGGTGGAGGTGAAGAGTGTGTGTTTGTATTGGGTGGAGGTGAAGAGTGTGTGTTTGTATTGGGTGGAGTGAAGAGTGTGTGTTTGTATTGGGTGGAGTGGAGAGTGTGTGTGTTTGTGTGGGGAGGTGAAGAGTGTGTGTTTTGTTTGGGTGGAGAGTGAAAGAGTATGTGTTTGTATTGATAGAGAGTGAAAGTGTGTGTTTGTATTGGGGGGAGTGAAAGTATGTGTTTGTGGGGGGTGCAGAGTGTGTGTTTGTGGGGTGCAGGTGTGTGTGTTTGTGGGTGGAGGTGGAGTGTGTGTTTGTGTGGGTGGAGGTGGAGGTGTGTGTTTGTGTGGGAGTGAAGGTGTGTGTTTGTGTGAGGTGGAGTGGAAGGTGTGTGTGTTTGTATTGGGTGGAGTGGAAGGTGTGTGTTTGTATTGGGTGGAGTGGAAGAGTGTGTGTTTGTGTGGGGAGTGCAGAGTGTGTGTTTGTGATAGAGTGAAGAGTGTGTGTTTGTGGTGGAGGTGAAGTGTGTGTGTTTGTATTAGGAGAGTGCAGAGTGTGTGTTTGTATTGGGTGGAGGTGGAAGGTATGTGTTTGTGGTGGAGGTGAAGAGTGTGTGTTTTGTATTGGGTGGAGGTGAAGTGTGTGTTTGTATTGGGGAGGTGAAGAGTGTGTGTTTGTATTGGGGAGTGAAGAGTGTGTGTTTGTGTTGATTGGAGTGAGAGGTGTGTGTTTGTATTGGGTGGAGGTATGTGTGTTTGTGTGGGTGGAGGTGAAAGAGTATGTGTTTGTGTGGGGAGGTGCAGAGTGTGTGTTTGTGTGGGGAGAGTGAAGAGTGTGTGTTTATGTGGGTGGAGTAGAAAGTGTGTATTTATGTGGAGTGAAGAGTATGTGTTTATGTGTGAAGTAAGAGTGTGTGTTTATGAGGTAAATGGAAGTGTGTGTTTGTATTGGGTGGAGGTGAAAGGTATGTGTGTTTGTATTGGGTGAGGTGGAAGAGTGTGTGTGTTTGTGTTGGGTGTGGAAGAGTGTGTGTTTGTATTAGGTGAGAGTGTGTGTGTTTGTGTTAGTTGGAGTGAAGGTGTGTGTTTGTGTTGGAGTGGAAGGTGTGTGTGTTTTGTGTGGGAGGTGAAGGTGTGTGGTTTGTGTGGGTGGAGTGGAAGGTGTGTGTTTGTGTTGGGTGGAGTGAAGAGTGTGTGTTTGTGTAGATTGGAGTGGAAGAGTGTGTGTTTGTGTGGGTGGAGTGAAGGTGTGTGTTTGTATTGGGTGGAGGTGGAAGAGTATGTGTGTGGGTGGAGGTGCAGAGTGTGTGTGTTTATATTGGAAGTAAAAAATGTGTGTTTGTATTAAGTGGAAGTAAATGTGTGTTGTAATGGGAAAGTGAAAGTATGTGTTTGTATTGGGTGGAGAGTGAAGAGTGTGTGTTTGTGTTGGGTGGAGTGAGAGAGTGTGTGTTTGTATTAGGTGGAGGTGAAGAGTATGTGTTTGTATTGGGTGGAGGTGAAGAGTGTGTGTTTGTATTAGGAGTGAAGAGTGTGTGTTTGTATTGGGTGAAAGTGAAGAGTGTGTTTGTATTAGGGTGAGTAAGAGGTGTGTTTGTATTGGTGGAGGTGAAGAGTGTTTGTATTGGGTGGAGGTAAAGAGGTGTTTGTATGAGGATGAAAGAGAGTGTTTGTATTGTGGAGGTGCAGGAGTGTGTGTTTGTATTAGGTGATGAGTTTGATTGGTGAAGGTGTATGTTTGTATTAGGGGAGTGATGTGATGTGAGGAGTGGGTGAGGTGAAGAGTGTGGTTTGAATAGATGGAAGAGATGTGTGTTTTGTAGGTGGGTGAAGAGTGATTGGGTGGAGGTGAGTGTTGAATTGGGTGGATGGAGATGTGTTTGTATTGGGTGGAGGTGAAGAGGTTTGTATTGGGTGGGTGAAAGTGTGATAGGGTGAAGATGTGTGTTTAAATGTGGAGGTGAAGATATGTGTTTGTATTGGGTGTGAGTGAAGAGGTAAGTTTGTATTGGTGGAGGTGAAGAGTGTGTGTTTGTATTAGGGGAGGTGAGAGTGTGTGTTTGTATTGGGTGAGGTGAAGAGTGTGTTTGTATTGGGTGAGGTGAAGAGTGTGTTTGTATTAGGGAGGCAGAGTGTGTGTGTTTGTATTGGTGAAAGAGTATGTGTTTGTGTTGGGGAGGTGAAGAGTGTGTGTTTGTATTGGTGGAGTGAAGAGGTGTGTTGTATTAGGAGGTGAAGAGTATGTTTGTATTGGGTGATAAGAAGAAGTGTGTGTGTTTGTATTAGGAGGTGAAATATGTGTTATTGGGTGAAAGAGAGTGTGTTTGTATTGGAGAAGGGGATTAGGGGAGAAGAGGGTGTTTGGTGAGGCAGAGTGTTTGTATTGGGTGATGAAGAGTGTGTTTGCATTGGGTGAGTGAAGATGTGTGTTTGACAGAGGTGAAGAGTGGGGTTGAATGGGATGTGAAGAGTATGTGTTTGTATTGGGTGGAGAGAAGAGTATGTTTGTATTGGGTGGAGGTGAAGATGTGTGTTTGTATTAGGAGGTGAAGAGTGCGGTTTGTATTGGGTGATGGAGAAGTTGTGTTTGTATTGGGGGAGGTGAAGAGGGTGTTTGTATTGGAGTGAAGAGTGTGTTTGTATTGGGTGGAGGTGAAATATGTGTTTCATTGGGTGAGTGCAGAGAGTGTGTTTGTATTAGGTGAGGTGAAGTGTGTGTTTGTATTGGGGAGGCATGAGAGTGTGTTTGTATTGGGTGGAGGTAAAGAGAGATGGTGTTTGTATTGTGGAGGTGAAATATGTGTTTGTATTGGGTGATGTGAAATATGTGTTTGTATTGGGTGAGGTGAAGAGTGTGTTTGTATTGGTGAGGTAGAGAGTGTGTGTTTGTATTGGGTGATGAAGAGTGTTGGTATTGGGTGGAGGTGAAGAGTGTGGTGTTTGTATTGGGTGAGGTGAAGAGGTATTGGGTGAAGGTGAAGAGTGTGTGTTTGTATTGAGGGGAGTGCAGAGTGTTTGGTTGGTGGAGGTGAAGAGGTAATGGAGGTGAAGAGTGTGTGTTTGTATTGGTGGAGGTGAAGAGTGTGTTTATTGGGTGGAGGCAGAGTGTGTGTTTGTATTGGGTGGAGGTGAAGAGTGTGTGTTTGTATTGTGGAGGTGAAGAGTGTGTGTTTGTATTGGGTGATGTGAAGAGTGTTGGATTGGGTGAGTGAAGAGTGTGGTTTGGTATTGGGTGAGAAAGTGTGTGTTTGTATTGGGTGAGGAATATGTGTTTGCATTAGGAGGTGCAGAGTGTGTGGTTTGTATTGGGTGGAGGTGGAGTGTGTTGTTTGTATTGGGTGGAGGCAAGATGTGTGTTTGTATTGGGTGAGTGAAGCGAGTGGGTGTTTAGCTTAGGGGAGGTGAAGAGTGTGTGTTTGTATTGGGTGAGGTGAAGTGTGTTTGTATTGGGTGAGGAAGAGTGTAAGTCTGGTATTGGGTGGAGGTGAAGAGTGTGTGTTTGTATTGGGTGGAGGTGAAGAGGTGTGTTTGATTGCGGGAGGCGAAGAGGTGTTGTTTGTATTGGTGAGTGTGAAGAGTGTGTTTGTATTGGGTGGAGGTGAAGAGTGTGTGTTTATTGGGTGGAGGTGAAGTGTGTTTGTATTGGGTGGAGGTGAAGAGTGTGTGTTTGTATTAGGGGAGTGCGGAGTGTGTTTGCATTGGGGGAGTGCGAAGAGTGTGTGTTTGTATTGGGTGAGTGCGGTGTGTTTGTATTGGGTGAGGTGGAAGAGTGTGTGTTTGTATTGGGTGGAGGTGAAGAGTGTGTGTTTGTATTGGGTGGAGGTGGAAGAGTGTGTGTTTGCATTGGGTGGAGGTGAAGAGGCGGTGTTGTTTGCATTGGGTGATGGAAGATGATGCGGCTTTACTGGGTGGAGGTGAAGAGTGTCAGGATTGCGGAGTGCGAAGAGGTGGCTTGGTATTGGTGAGGTGAAGAGTTTGTTTGTATTGGGTGGAGGTGAAGAGTGTGTGCCTGGTGTATTGAGTGAGGAAGATGCGTGTTTGTATCAGGGAGGTGAAGAGCGTGTGTGTTTACTGGGTGAAGTGCAGAGCAAAGTGTTTGCATTGGGTGAGGTGAAGAGCAGTTGGGGAGGGTGAAGAGTGTGTGTTTGTATTGGGTGAGTGAAGGTGGGTTTGCATTGAGGTGAAGTGTGTTTGTATTGGGTGGAGGTGAAGATGTGTGTTGTATAGGGTGAGTGTGAAGGAGTGTGTGTTTGTATGGGTGAGGTGAAGATGTGTGTGGTATTGGGTGATGCGGAAGATGTGTGTTTGTATTGGGTGAGGTGAAGGTGTGTGTTTGTATTGGGTGAGGTGAAGAGTATGTGTTTGTATTGGGTGAGTGAAGTGGTTGTTTGTATTGGGTGAGGTGAAGAGTGTTTTGTATTGGGTGGATGTGAAGAGTGTGTGTTTGTATTGGTGAGGTGAAGAGTGTTTGTACAGAGGTGAAGTGGTTTGTATTGGGTGGAGGTGATGGTGTATTAGTGGGTGGAGGAAGAGTGTGTGTTTGTATTGGGTGGGAGTGGAAGAGTGTGTGTTTGTATTGGGGAGGTGAAGAGGTGGTTTGTATTGGGTGGAGGTGAAGAGTGTGTGTTTGTATTGGGTGGAGGTGAAGAGTGTGTGTTTGTATTGGGTGGAGGTGAAGAGTGTGTTGTATTGGGTGGAGGTGAAGAGTGTTTGTATTGAGGGACGGAAGAGTGTGTGTTTGTATTGGGGAGGTGAAGAGTGTGTGTTTGTATTGGTGGGGTGAAGGTTGTTTGTATTGGTGGAGGTGAAGAGGTGTTTATGGGTGGAGGTGAAGAGTGTGTTTGTATTGAGGACGTAGAGGTGATTGTATTGGGTGGAGTGAAGGTGTGCTGTATTGGTGAGTGAAGAGGTTTGTATTGGGTGGAGGTGAAGAGGTGTGTTTGTATTGGGTGGAGGTGAAGAGTGTGTTGTTTGTATTGGGTGGAGGAAGAGTGTGTGTTTGTATTGGTGGAGGTGAAGAGGGTGTTTGTATTGGTGAGGAAGAGGTGTTTGTATTGGGTGGAGGTGAAGGTGTGTGTTTGTGGTTGGTGGAGGTGAAGATGTGTGTTTGGTATTGGGTGGAGGTGAAGTGTGTGTTTGTATTGGGTGGAGGTGAAAGAGTGTGTGTTTGTAATGTGGGTTGATGTGTGGGTTGTATTGGGTGAGGAAGAGGTGTTGTTTATATTGTGGAGGTGAAGTGTGTGTGTTTGTATTGGGTGGAGGTGAAGGTGTGTGTTTATTGGTGGAGGAAGGTGTGTTTGTATATTGGTGGAGGTGAAGGTGTGTGTTTGTATTGGGTGGAGGTGAAGAGTGTGTGTTTGTATTGAGGACGTGAAGAGTTGTTTGTATTGGGTGAGTGTGTGTTTGTATTGGTGGAGGTGAAGAGTGTGTTGTTTTATTGGGTGGAGGTGAAGTGTGTGTTTGTATTGGGTGGAGGTGAAGAGTGTGTTTGTATGGGTGGAGGTGAAGTGTGTGTGTTTCATTGGGTGGAGGTGAAGAGTGTGTTTTGTATTGGGTGGACGAAGATGTGTTTGTATTAGAGGTGAAGAGGTATTGGGGGAGGTGAAGAGTGTGTGTTTGTATTGGGAGGTGAAGGAGGGTTGTATTAGAGGTGAAGAGTGTGTGTTTGTATTGGTGGAGGTGGAGAGTGTTTGTTAGGTGGGAGGTTGAGAGAGTGTTTGTGTTAGGTGGAGGTGGGAGAGTGTTTATTAGGTGGAGAAGAGATATGTAGGTGGAGGTGGAGAGTGTGTTTGTTTTGGTGGAGAGAGGTTTGTGTTAGGTGGAGGAGAGTGTTTGTGTTAGGTGGAGGTGGAGAGATTTTGTGTTAGGTGGAGGAGAGAGGTTTGTGTAGGTGTGAGGTTGAGAGGTTTGTGTTAGGTGGAGGTGGAGAGAGGTTTGTGTAGGTGGAGGGTGGAGAGTGTGTTTGTTTGGTGGAGAGAGTGTTTGTGTTAGGAGGGGAGGTGAGAGTGTTTGTGTTAGGTGGAGGGAGAGTTTGTGTGTTAGGAGGTGGAGGAGGTTTGGGTAGGGGGAGGTGGAGAGGTGTTTGTGTTAGGTGGAGGTGGGAGAGAGGTTTGTGTTAGGTGGAGGTGGAGAGGTGTTTGTAGTGATGTGAGAGAGGTTGAGGGTGGAGGTGGAGAGAGGTTTGTGTTAGGTGAGGTGAGAGAGTGTTTGTGTTAGGTGGAGGTGAGAGAGGTTTGGTTTGGTGGAGGTGAGAGAGTGTTTGTGTTAGGGTGGAGGTGGAGAGAGTGTTTGTGTTAGGTGGAGGAGAGAGGTTGTGGGAGGTGGAGAGAGTGTTTGGTTAGGAGGTGGGGAGAGTGTTTGGTAGGTGGAGGGAGAGTGTGTTAGGTGGAGGTGGAGAATGTTTGTGTTAGGGAGGAGAGAGGTTTGTGTTAGGTGGAGGTGGAGAGGAGGTTTGTGTTAGGGTGGAGGAGAGAGTGCTTGTTAGGTGGGAGAGTTTAGTTAGGGTGGAGGTGGGAGAGGTTTGTGTTAGGTGGAGGTGGAGAGTGTTTGTGTTAGGTGGAGGGAGAGGCTGTGTTAGGGTGGAGAGAGTTTGTGGAAGCGGAGAGGTTTTGTTAGGTGGTGGAGAGGTTAGTAGGGGTGGAGGTGAGAGAGGTTTGTGTTAGGTGGAGGTGAGAGAGTGTTTGTGTTAGGTGAGGGGTTTGTGTTAGGTGGAGGTGGAGAGAGGTTTGTGTTAGGGAGGAGAGTGTGTTAGGGGTGGAGGGAATGTGTTTGTGTTAGGGGTGAGGTGGAGAGAGGTTTGTGTTGGGAGGTGAGAGAGCAAGCAGGGTGGAGGGAGAGAGTGTTTGTGTTAGGGGTGGAGGAGAGTGTGTTTGTGTTAGGTGGAGGTGGGAGGAGGTTTGTGTTAGTGGAGGTGAGAGGTTTGTGTAGGTGGTGGGAGAGGTTTGTGTTAGGTGGAGGTGGAGAGTGCTTGTGTTAGGTGGAGAGAGTTTGTGTTAGGTGGAGTGTTTGTGTTAGGTGGTGGTGGAGAGGTTTGTGTTAGGTGGTGGTGGAGAGGTTTAGGTGGAGGAGGAGAGAGTGTTTGTGTTAGGTGGAGGAGAGAGTGTTTGTGTTAGGTGGAGGTGGGAGAGTGTTTGTGTTAGGTGGAGGTGGAGAGAGGTTTGTGTTAGGTGGAGGTGAGAGAGTGTTTGTGTTAGGTGGAGGTGGGAGGTGTGTTTGTGTTAGGTGGAGGTGGAGAGTGGTTTGTGTTAGGTGGGAGGAGAGAGTGTTTGTGTTAGGGTGGAGGTTGGAGAGTGTTTGTGTTAGGGAGTGTGAGCGAGTTTGAGTAGGTGGAGGTGAGAGTGTTTGTTAGGTGGAGGTGAGAGTGTTTGTGTTAGGTGGAGGTGGAGAGAGTTTAGGAGGAGGTGGAGAGAGTGTTTGTGTTAGTGGAGGGAGTGTGTTTGTGTTAGGTGGAGGAGAGTGTTAGTGGAGGAGTTTGTTAGGTGGAAGTGAGGTGTGTGGTTGGGGAGGAGGTGGTGTTTGGGGAAGGAGTGTGTGGTTGGGAAGGAGGTGTGTGTGTTGGGGAAGTGAGGTAGGTTTGAAGTGGAGGTGTGTTTGGGGGAAGGTGTGTGTGTTTAGAAGTGGAGGTGTGTTTGAAGTGGAGGTGTGTGTGTTTGGGGAAGGGAGGTGTGTGTGTGTTTGGGGGAGGAGGTGTGTGTTTGGGGAAGTGTGTGTATTTGAGGAGGAAGGGAGGATGTGTGTGTGTGTGTGGTGTTTGGGGGAGTGGAGGTGTGTTTGGGGAAGGAGAGGTGTGTGTGTTTGGGGAATGGAGTGGTGTGGGGAAGTGAGTGTGGTGGTGTGTGTTTGGGAAGTGGTGTGTGTGTGTTTGGGGAAGTGGAAATGTGCTGGCAGTAACTCAAAGGTATCAGGATAGTCTAAGATAACATAGTAACAACGACCCCACCTGGGAGATGATTACCCAATTGAACACTTTGAGGAGCACCACACAAAAAATCCATCAAGAGTTTTGGACTGCAAATCAAGGCAGACAAGCGCCAACGCTGGAAAGATGCTGCCGCTGCCCCTCTCGCACTAGATTTAACCCTCCACATGTGCAACATCTGAACGACTGCCGGTCCCGTATCGGCCTCTTTAGTCACCTAAAAACTCACTAACCGAGGTGACATCCCTAATAACACAAATCATTGTATCATAGCTGGATGATCATCATACTCGATTCAGAGTGACAGCAAAGTAGTAGTTGTAGTAGTATGGGAGTGTGTGTGTGTGTGTGCGCGTGCATGTGCATGTGTTTAGGAGGTGTGTGCGTGCATGCACATGCATGTATGTGTATGTACTGTATGTGCATGTAATTACAAATTTGCTTTAACTTTAACAGGCAGAGACCTTGCGTGACTTTGGAGGTACTGTTTTGGCTAATGCCTGTGGTCCATGTATTGGTCAATGGGATCGTCAAGATGTCAAGAAGGGAGAGAAGAATACCATTGTTACTTCATATAATCGTAATTTTACTGGACGTAATGATGCTAACCCTGCCACCCACGCCTTCGTTACATCTCCAGAGTTGGTAACTGCTATGACACTAGCAGGCAGGCTGGACTTTGACCCAAGAAATGACACTTTAGTAAGTTATTTATGATAATTTCTTATCGTTTTCATAAGATTGCCTTTTGCATTTAATGATATATAGATACTCTGAAGGTAAAATATGAACAGGTACCTCATTAATAGTTGCTTATTTTAATATTTTGTATCAGGTTGGAAGTGATGGACAAGAGTTCAAACTCAAGGATCCTTATGCTGATGAATTGCCATCCCGTGGATTTGATCCAGGCGAGGACACCTACCAGGTCAGCATCATTCTGGCTAAAATATCATCCCCATTGTTTCTTTACACCCATTTTCCATGCTTGCATTGCATAGCCATGATTACTCCTACTGTATGGTCTGCTGCAACTTCTTTTGTCAGGTTCTTATCTCTGTTATTTAACACAACCTATCCATATAATTTTTTGCCTACCCCCTAACTCGCCTCCATCCACAATAATTCATGCATCTCTACACATTGTCTTCTCTATTTTCTCCCCATCTCTGAACCATCTCAGCCTTCCTCCTTGCAGAATGTTACCAATGCTCTGAATACCCAGCTGACCTCTTTGCTTTGAGTAGGCTTTCTTATCTATCATTGTCATGTTACATACCCATCTCATCATTGTCATATCAACGTGTTCAAGCCCACTCATGCCATTTGCATATACAGGGTAACTTTCCTTTCAAATGGAGGGAAGGTTCTCTTGTCATCAATAAAGACAGCAACTCTTAAACTTTCTTCAGCCACTTCTGACTCATGCAAGTGAACTTCAGCGCCCCTTTCAGCTCTGATCATGTCATCCAGGTAGAACTTAACAAAAAAAATCAAAATTTGCTGACTGAATTTTGACTCTTTCGGAAATTAAACAGTTAGTTAGTGAATTAGAGGGGCTTGAGTATAGCTTTCTCTCCTTCCCTAGATATTTCTCTTGTAGTTTCTTAGTTCTAAATAATGCCTTTGTAAGCCCAAACTCCTTTTCATTAATGTCCACTCCCTCCCTAATCATTTTCTTGGTGGCTCTTTCCACAACTACTATAACCTCATTTGACTGCTTCAGGCCCCTGTAGTTGCTGCATTCAAGTGCTTCACCCTTTTCCTTTTTTGGTGTTCACAATCACTCTCTTCAACCAGTCAGCTGAAACAATACATTCCAACTATCTTTCCATTCTTTATTTTATCAGTTGTTTTCCTCACTCAATCAGATTCTCTCTCTGACTAATGATGATTTCATTACGTGTTCAGTATCCTATATTTGCAGAATATTTTAGTACCAAATATGGTCTCTACATATCTACCTTCTAGTCCAAATTGGGTGGACCAAAATGCCATATATTTTTTTAGGGTGCAATATATTTTAAAGGTGATTGCATGTTGCTTATATGTAAAGGTATTTTACAGAGATATTATTGTAATAAACATGACTAAAACCCTCCAGAATGAACATGAGTCACATTGAAAAAATCTTACAGGCACCTCCAGACGATGGTTCAAATGTTAATGTTGATGTGAGTCCAGAATCACAACGATTGCAGCTCCTTTCACCTTTTGACAAGTGGGATGGTAAAGACTTAAAAGATTTGAATATTCTCATCAAGGTAAGTAATACAAGTGATATGGTTAAAAGTTAAACACATTATCAATGTTTGTAAAAACTTATAATTTTTTATCTTTAATATAGAAGAAGAATAGAATCTTTAAAGAAAGTAATGTCTTGGGTATGTATTGTTTGTCTTTTTTCTTTCACAGAAGCTATCAGTAAATAAGTACTTACATGTTTGTCTATACCTACAGTATGGGTCTGTATTTTCAAGAGAGATTGTTTGGGACTTGATGCATCCTTCCCTTTCTAGTCTTCAGGCATGGGATTGATTGGTAACCCCACCTTCTTGTATTCAGTTACTTAAAAAAAAAAAGAAATATTGTGGCAGGATTCATAGTACTGAGGAAAGGGTGATTGAACCAGTGTTACATCTACCTAAATCATCAGACAATTCAGTGCAGCTTTGTCGTCGCATGTTCACTATCCAAATCTTCAAAGTATCCTTATATGCTGGATGGTCTTGGATGTGGGTTTTTGTACATAGGCCGATTGAATCTTGTCAGCCTTCAATCTGTTGCTGCAAATAGTTTTATATAGCACATACCTTGTTTCGTCATGCCACAACTGACACACGTACTCTACGTTCAAGTTCATCAAAAATTTTAACTTCCTCTTCTTTTCCTCACTTGAACTGAAAGAAGAGGCACCTTTTGAGCATTTGCATATCTTGATAAGTGGTGCAGATGGTAAACTAGGGAAATATGAAAGTAAAAGCAATCGTGTTTGACTTTGCATAAGCATTGGCTGAGTGACACTGTTAACTACATCTGGGGAGGTGCACGTGAATGGTAGTTGTATTGGCATTGCAGTTGAAATGAAATGTTTCCAGCCTGCCCCTTCGTGCGAAATAAAAAAAATGTGAAGTAACCCGAGGCTACTAGGTATTGCTTTGAGAGAGAGATCAGGCAGGGATATACAAAAAAATCTTCAAGCTAACATTATGGATTTGATCAATAGACTTAGATGTAAGACAAAGAAGAAAATCATGAGAAACAGAAATGAGATCCTGGGGACCCATATACTGTACTGTACAGTAGACCCTTGCCATTCTCGAGGGATAGGCTCCAAGAACTGACGCGAATTGGCAAAACCGCAAATAGCCACTTACACAGTCGACCCTCGTTAATTCGAACCCCTTTAATCCGGATTTCGGATAATTCGCACAAAATCTGAACTTTTTTTTTTTTTTTAGGAATATTACCTATGCGGACCTTAAGCTAAAATGCTGGTCCACCCACTGCTGGGATAAAACACCAGCGTCTTTTTGGTTAAATGTAACATCTCCACCACTAGTGTGGGGGGGGGAATGCAACTTTTAGCTTCAGACATGAAAAATATTTACCATTTACTGCCAGTAAACAATGGAAACATAAAATATGTACCAATTAGTAATGAAAAGTTGTGCAGTTCCTTCAGCAAATGAAGCTCACCAACTTACAATAGGCTAAATTACCTTAAAACGTGTTTTCAGTAGTCTATGTTGAAGTTCTTAGCACAGTAGAAGATTATTGTCATAGGAGGGAAGATCAGCTAAAACTAATGGCCCATCACTTTTTTGGTAGATTTTAGTGTATATAAACAGAAAATAATTTCAGTTTCAATATTTTGCAACCTTTTGCTAGATGAATTTTAGTATTAAATTGCTCGAAAATACCTCTTGTGCAGCTGCATTAATTGCATTACAATTAAATAGTGAACATTGCTTTCTGACTTCATTCTTTAACAACCCAACTAACAATATTTTTCTGTTTCAGATTCTGATGCATTTATAAGTTGATAATATTTGCGATGGCTGCTTGTGTCAGGAGCGGAACCAAAATCCAGCCATCTCAGTCACTATCTTGGGTCTGGGAGAGAGCTCCTGAAATTAGGAGTTGCCTACATTGAGAGATGCTTTGAGATACGGTGTTTTAATCAGGCAAATCAGTGAAAAGAACCAAGAACTTACACAAACAAACACATTGCCAGTGATATGACCAAAGCTGTCTTGGCACAGTACACTCTGGCTAACGCTCAGTTCAAGCCTCCAGTCATAACAAGTCAGAAGAAGATTAGTGAGAGACTGCTAGCCAGTTGGGAAAAGGCAAGAGATATATCTCTTGGGAGAGGAAAACTTGCAGTTAAGGACAGCTTTGCCAAGCAACTGGACCAGTTATTTGACATAATTACTTGCAAGTGCCCAATTGTTCTCTGTCCTGAGTTTGGATGTGATCGTGACTGTAAATCCGAGGCCCACATCTTCTTAATATTTGCAAATGGAACTGAATTCTGTGGATGAACTGGCGTTTGTCAAAGCACAGAGAAGACTGGCAGTATAGGGGCTCTCATGATTTCCTAGCCAAGATATTCGGGTCCAAGAGACAGGAGGCTGCCACAGAGACAGAAGAGGAGAAAAGTTGCGAGGAAAAGAGACGAGAAGGCCAGAATTGAGGAGTAAAAAGGCCGATGATTGGAGTCAAGCTGATTCAGTTTAATGACTTCCATGGCTGATCCGAGGTGCTGACCAGGAGAATGGTGACTGTCCTAACCCCAGAAAATAATGATCCCAAACCTTCATGGGCATAAGATTCTAAATAGGAAAGATATCGGCGTAGCTCTGGCCAGCATCGCGACACCACACTGGTCTCAGGCTACAGAATACTTAATAGCTGCTCGTTGAGTGGTTTGATAACACCTGATGATGTTCACCTGGTGATAGATCATAACAAAGTAAGGAGAGCTCAGGAGAAGCGTCGTAACCTGGGAGTTTGATAAGGGGATAAGAGAAAATGGAATCAATTGTTTGTTCTTTGATGGGAGAAGGGATGACACTAAAGTGTTCATGAAAGTTGGAGATTCTTACAAGTTGTTCCCTGCCATGGTGAAGGAGGAACACTACTCCTGCTGCATGGAACCAGGAGGGAAGTATTTGTGGCATTTCACTCCAGAGAAAGATGACATCAGGAAACCAGCTGAGATAGTGGCAGATAACATTGTGAACTGGCTCAGAGAGAGGAGCGTAGACCAGACCCTGCAGGCCATTGGAGGGGACAGCACCAACACGAACACAGGGTGGCAAGGGGGGGTCATACAGTGGATAGGCGGGAAGGTGGGAGGAAGCTGGTCTGGATTGTTTGACCTCACACCAGCGAGTTGCCACTCCAGACATCGATCCAGAGCTGGATGGCAAGACTCTTTCAAACAACAGATGAATGGTCTCTTGGCAAGATGCTGGACTCTGCCACTGAGTTAGAAATAAATCCGAACTTTGAAAAAATCACAGTTGGCCCTCCACTCGTTGAGCTTGCACATACTGTCATTGACGACCTGAGTACTGACCAGTACTATGGTTACATGATTTGCAGTGCCATCAAAACTGGGGTCATGCCTGATAGACTTGCTTACCTGCAGATAGGTCCAGTCTCACATTCTAGGTGGCTCACAACGGCTCTCAGGTTCTGCAAAATTTGGGTCGCTCATCATAAACTGAAAGGGAACCAGCTTCACAACCCAGACTTATTGTCCAATTCATCGTGAGTGTCTACTTGCCAAATTGGTTCAACACCAAGGTCAAGTCATCGTTCTCTGAAGGTCCGAGGCATGTTCTCTTCCAGCTTCAGCTCCTGAGGAGTCAACCAAGGAAGGTTGTTCAGATTGTGGAGCAGACTGTGAGGAGATCTTCCTGGTATGCTCATCCCAAGGCAGTTCTGCAGACAATGCTCTGCAGTAAGGCTGAGGAGGAGAGAAGAGTGGCTGTCAAAAAGATCTTGGATATGGGACTTATGAGAGGATCTGGGCATGACGAATCAGTTGGTGACGATTCCTTCAGGGTCAGGAAGACTCCTGAAGTCAATCTAGGTGCCAAGACCCTCACTGATCTCATAGATCTGGATAACATCCAGGCTGGCAGTGAGCCCCCTCTTACCTGCAGCCTCACCAATGTTCAAGTCAGAGCTTTCCTGGACAGCCCCATGCATGTCCCTGCCTGGCCCTACTTTTAGAGTATAGGCGTTGTGTACAGCAAGTGAGGCGGGCCAGCAGTCAAATATTACAGCCAGGAGGAGGAGAGGAAGGCTACATCCGAGCTCAGGTGGTCCTTCAGGAGGTGATGGTAGAAACAGAAGCAAGAAAAGACATGTTCTCTATGGTGTGCCTTAACACCGGGTAAATGATAGTAAAACCGGTTTTTGTATTTGATGATTTTGTTTTCTAAAGGAATATTAAATTTAATAAATGTGTCAAGATCATTAGTTTCACTATTCTGGATCATTTTCATCCTAATAAATTAACCTGATACATTTACTTTACTTTAAATAAGCTATTTAGTGGTGTTGGTAAAAGGGTGGGAATACTGAATTTTCATAAGATTTCAAGTTAAAATTTACCTAGCAAAAAATGAAAACTTTTCAAATCTGAAGATATCACATGATTCTGCACATAGAACTACATCATTAATACCATGGGCCGATGTTTCAAACTCAAAAAAAAAAAATTCGCCTCCGTATGACACACCCTATTAGCACAGGCTAACTTATCATATCATATACGGTATCACAGTTCTCATTGATCTACAAAAAATACCGGAAATAAAAACCTTTTCGATATTTCACATTTAATATAATACCAGGTAATCTACTTCAACCTCCTATTGTTTACAACGAAGCATGACGCACCACCAGCTGTTGAGTATCAGCTAGACGGTACACGTGTTTTTCGAATCGTTTTCAGTTAAAAACTGTTACATCACACGTATATTTTACCTAAACTGCGCCTGAATGAATATATTCTCGGAAATAAATACAGTGGGGTATGCTATAACGAATCTAATTGGTTCTAGAACCTTGTTCACTATAGGATTAATCCGTTCCAGGCCCCTAAATACAACCACTTAACACCTGAAAAATATAATATAAAATTGTAAAAATTAAAAAAAAATGCATAAATATGCATCTAAACCCCTGAAATAAAGAATATCATTATTACTTGTAATAAAAAAAAACAATAAATTAGTAAAAAAAAAAATCGTTGTAGGAGTTTCGTTCGTTATAGCATTCTCAATTTTATAGGTAAAACCGTTCGTTATAGGAATATTCGTAGTAGAATCCATTCGTTATAGCATACCCCACTGTAGTAGTTTTGCTGAAACGTGATGTATTTTAATGTAAAATAGGATAAAATACATGACGAAAACAAAAGATTTTACCTAACCTTCCGATGTTCAAGAGAAGTTACTCGTTTTTTTCATAGTTTTTGGTGAAAATACCGTTATATTACAATGGTATTCTATTCATACTGTGCTTGATATAATACATTCACGGAAATGTAATATTTTTGCTGAAATGACGTACGTATTACAGTGGAAAGTGGGATAAAATAATGACGAAAACAGTGACTTTCGCTTTCTTTCGTTCAAAAGATGTTACCGTAATCGCTTTTCGATTGGTTTTCAGTTAAAAAACTGTTGTATTACAATAATATTCTATCCTAATTGACTTGAATAAATACTACGATACCATATTTCTGAATATTTTCATTAAAATCCATCCAAATCATTTCCCTTGTCATCGTCTGCAGCACCAAACAGCTTCTCCCAGTCCTCTCCTTGAACAGGGGTAGAGGGTACGTGTTTTTCGAATTGTTTTCAGTTAAAAAACTGTTACATCACACGTATATTTTACCTAAACTGCGCCTGAATGAATATATTCTCGGAAAGAAATAGTAGTTTTCCTGAAACGTGATGTATTTCAATGTAAAATAGGATAAAATACATGACGAAAACAAAAGACTTTACCTAAGCTTCCTATGTTCTTGAGATGTTATTCGTTTTTTTAATAGTTTTCGGTTAAAATACTGTTATATTACAATGATATTCTATTCATACTGTGCTTGATATAATACATTCACGGAAATGTAATATTTTTGCTGAAATTACGTACGTATTACAGTGGAAAGTGGGATAAAATCGTGACAAAGACAATGATTTTGAAATATAATGCAATATTAACCCCTAAATCGGTTAATTCGGACAATTGGCTAAAACGGACACCCTTCCCCCCTATTAGTCCGAATTAACGAGGGTCGACTGTACTAATATACAGGTATACCTATACCGTGTATGAGAAACTTAAGTCACAATACTGTACTTACATTCGTATGTGGAAGTCTGGAGCCTGATAAAGTGATGCACTGTACATCAGGAGACATCTGGATACTGAAGCATAGGTGGATCATCAGGATCACTGTTGGAAGAGGGTGAATCAGTGGTGGTTGGTGGAGTGGCGTGCAACTTGGAGGCATCAGGTGGCAGGGAGGAGAAGGTGGAGCGGCAGCAGTAGTAGCTGGTTCTTTCTTGATAAACATGGTGATTATTATTTATTTCCTCTTGACGTTGAGGTCTTTAAACATTTCCTGGTAGGGAAACAATACCTGGTTGATTCCTCAAACCATCTTTAGGCTGCATTCCATGGAAGGGTTTGCGGAGTGGCAAAGCAACCCAGGTTTGATCATGTGGCCAGCTGCACTGCCACAGAACATGAGCATCACTCTGTCCTTTGCTGCCTTGAACCCAGAGGCACACCTCTCCTGCCTGTTTATGTATATTCTACCAGGCATTTTTTTCCAATATAAACCAGATTCATTGGCATTAAACACTTGCTCCGTTCTATAGCCTTTCTCTTCTATTATTTTCTTTAGTGTGGCAGGAAATGCACCTGCAGCTGTGTGGTCAGCTGATGCAGCCTCCCCAGTCAGCTTCACATTATGGAGAGAGAATTTGTTCTTAAAATTCTCGAACCAACCTTTACTGGCACTTAAAGTTGGTTCAGTCACTGCACTATCCCCTTCACCACCTGTTCACAAATGACGTTGCTGTCGATTGGAAAAAATTTCTGGTGCTGGTCCTCAACCCAAATGTTCAGTGCTTTACTGTTTTCACTATGTTCTTGTCACGAACAACCTGCGCCACTTTAGCACTTGCAGGAGCACTCGCTTGAACAGAATCACGAATTGCTTGTTTATTCTTTCTTATGTACTGCACTCTGGATCCGTTCACACCAAACAACCTCTTTTATCTTGTCTAATAATAATTAAAATTTCTGACTTTTGCCTTTTGCCTTTTATGTTTCACTCCACTAGCATCACTAGCACTGACACTAGGCAGTCTTTTTGGGACCATTTTCACAAAGAAACATGGGATGCTCGGTCACGGGTACTGGGCGAGGGCAAACAGAGCGAGATGAGACGCTGCACGCGCGTGGTGTGACTCGTTGCGCTGCGGAAGAAGGCTCGCATGCTGGCCACCCGAACCAACAGCTGCTTACCGTGAATCGTTGAAATTACGAATCGTAAACCCGCGAATGGGAAGGGTCTTCTGTATGGGAGAAACAGGATACAGAATATAAGTACAGAAGAAAGTTGTGAAAAATGAAATAAGTTACAATAGGTCAGGGTTATGTTAGGGTAGTGTGGACACATTGAGAGAATGGAAAGTGAAAGTTTGGTTAAAGTTGTACAATTTATAGTGATCTTAGGAGAGAGAGGAAGACCCAAAAGGAGATAAAAGGATGGGAATGACATGTACACACACTCGATTGTTGGTATGAATATCCAGGTAGCAACAGTATGTGAATAAATACAAGCACATTTATTATTCTATGTTTCCTACTCCGGAAGGTTCTAGGGGTAATATATTATTATTAATATTTTTATTTTTACTAAACTTTGTTTATATGTCCATTTCTTAATATGTTTTTATTTATATATTGATTTTTTCCATCAGGTGAAGGGAAAGTGTACAACAGACCACATTTCTGCTGCTGGCCCCTGGCTTAAGTTCCGTGGCCATTTGGATAACATCTCCAACAACATGTTCCTGGCAGCTGTCAATGCTGAGAATAATGATATGAACAATGTTCAGAATAAGGCAACAGGAGAGTGGGGCCCAGTACCTGCCACTGCCAGAGCATATAAGGCCAGTGGCATAAGGTGGTGTGTCATAGGTGACGACAATTATGGTAAGACATCATACAGTCCTTTAGTAGGCTGTTTTTCTCACCTTCCTTTATTTGTGGAATTTGAGTAAATATGTACAGTAGTTGTAAAAGTACACTACATTACAATTGTGACCTTATATCCTTTGCCAGGCTCTTCTGGCTCATCCGGTTATGTGGCAATGTCAGAGAAACCCAAACTTGCTGTCAGACAACCTGGCCTATAGTTTATGCAACTGTCGGTGGTTTTAAGCAAGATGAACACACCACACATGTGCTGCAAAATAAAGAAAAATAACATTCATAACAAATACTACCTTCACTACACCACAAACAACAGACAATATTTAATACACCATACATGGGGAAAATCAACATGGA